TGTTGGATCCAGGTGTGTTGGACAGGGAGACATTAAGAGCTGCAGGACTCGGACCTCCAGGACCAGGACTGCCCACCGCTGACGCAGCCTCTTGCCATAAGGAAGTATCAACCGCTGCTTGTGCAACAGTCTTAATTTTGGCCCTAACACCCTGCCATACTCACCCATGGTGGCGGAGAAGATAACGATGCCGAGGACGTTCATCTGCTGGCTGCTGCCAGGACTCGTCTTGTAGATGACGTCTGGGGGCGGAGTCAGCTCCAGGTAGACTGTCCGTCCTTTAGGGTCGTTGTCGTCGGGGACGACGTAGACAAAGTTGGGCTGGATGGTTTTGGTTGGGACTCTGAGGATGGGGATCAGGTCCGTTTTGTACTGCAGCAGCAGAGTCAGGTGGTTAGAGGAAGCAGAACTGACAGGAGCTTCAAACCTGTGAGGAGGTTTACCTGCTGGAACGTGGCTTCGATCAGGTTGGAGGGAACCATGTTTCTGTGGGTGAAGGAGAGAAGAGCCATCAAATAAACAGGAAGCCTTCATGACAGACACACCGAGTGTTGGAGCTGCACTGGGCCGTGTGCTCGCTCCACTGCTCTTTACTGTTCTTGCTCAGTTCTGCACAGCCAAGAACAGAACCAAACATCCTGAAGTTAAACATGAAGTACGGCAGCCCAGAGAGGGACAATAATCTGCCTCTGTGTCCACTCCCCACCTCATCTCCTCAGCCCAGCAGAGACTGAGGCCTCCATCGATTACTGGACCCAGACTGGTGCTGCTGGTCAGAGTCCTGTCCAAATCAATGTTGGACCCAGAGGTTCCCATCAGAACACGCCTTGTTCCACTGTTCTACGGTTCAGTTCTGACCCTTGTGTGTCCAAAGTAGAAGCTCTGGGTGGCTCTGTCCCCGGGTTCTCTGGCGGTCCTCTCTTGGATCTCCTCAGTGTGTGCTGCCCCCTGCAGGCCAGCGGGAGCTGCAGGAGCTTCCTCTGCTCTGTGGAACCGCAGGAAGTTCTTACAGCACAACAAAAACAGACGGCAGGCTGCTGCACGCTCAGAGGTCAGAGGTCACCAGGATGACGGTGAAGTGTTGAAGCGGCGCGTGCAGCTCCTGTCAGACCTGGGTCTGCAAACGTGCAGCAGCAGAGATCAGTGACTCGGTTAATCTGCCTCTCATCCCGCAGGATTACTAAAAATACCGCCAAGAGCCGGAGCTCTGAGGGGATGAAGAGCTGCAGCGCTGCTACGGTTTGTTGACCCTCGTTGGACTCATCATTTCTGGATAAAACTGATCGGCTCAGCTTCATTCATGCAGCTGCAGCCTTCGTCTCATGCTGCAGGTTGCTAGGTTGCATCTTTAGCACTGGTGACTGACTGGTTGGACATTAGAAAGGAGACGAATGTCTCCTTACATCCCAGACGAGACAAAGTTAATACCAGCCACTATGACATCTGTTTGCTGATTAGATCATTTCAAAATGGGTTTTTATTTCAGGGCATCAGAGTAAAGGTGGCTGAACACCAAAACATTCCTGTTGTGACTTTTTTACACTTATATGTTGTTCAGTATATTTTGCATGATAAGTGACTGATTTTATATGTGAAGCATAATTTACATGATTATTAATTGAATTGAAGATGATTGTATATAATTACAAAGGTGACGTAATTACCTTTGTAAGTGCGAGTCATGATTTATTTGACTAGAGGAAGTCTTTTATTTTGAAGAAAGCTGAACAGGATCTGGTTCTGTTTTGTCGCTGTCTTGCTTTCGTTGATGTTGGTTGCTAGGTTACGAGCAGCTGTCGTCGTTTTTCTCAATAAAAACTGAACAGAAATGTTGAGTAAAAGACAAACGTAACATTTCCACCATTTCTAAGACTTTGAGCTGTAAACAACGTCAGACTGTTTTCCTTCTATGGCAGGTTGGCCTCCAGGGCTTGTAAAGCAAAATAACTTAAAGCAAATCACTCAGTATGCCGCCTCCTCCACACAATGAAAATGACCTTTGACCTCCCTCACCGGATCAGGTCGAGCAGGGCATCGGCCGAGGTCATGACCGGCCCGCCGCCCAGACGGTTGCTCTCCATGTCCGTCCCCATGCCGGGCTTGATGATGAGGACGAGGACGATGCCGACCACCACGGCGATGAAGGTGGTCCACAGGTAGTAGGTGACGGTGAGGACGCCCATCCTGCAGCACGCTTTGGACTCCATGGAGGACAGGCCGGACATCAAGCTGCAGGACAAACAGGAGGACACAAACGTCACGCAGCCTGTGGAGCCCCAGGAATGCCTCCGCACCAAATCAGCCCTTAAATTATAGAACGATATTAGTGCCGAAATGCAGACTACAGCCCACCTAGCGGTGGCTACTTCCCTGTCACAATGTGAAGCTACCTATTGATCTGATTAAGGACAGACTGGCACCAGTAGCTGAGACAGGCTAGCATTAGCCTTAGACAGGTTAGCATTAGCCTTAGATAGGCTAACAACTAGCATGCCTATGCTGGTCACCTGACCAACCTCTGAGCTTTCACTAATCAAAAATGATTTATGGTGATTTCAGGCATTGTATCCAAACATTTGTCTTTATAAAGTTTCCTTTAAAGGAGAAAGCACAAGTCACCAAATGTAGCCTAGGTATGCTAGCTGTTAGCCTTTTCAATGCCAGTACTAGCCTATCAAAAGCTAACACTATGTGCTAATGGACAGCACAGGAAGAACATAAATAATGCATGAGGAGTCTCAGCATGGTAGTCATCAGCCCCTCTAATGCTAACGTTGGTTAGCACTCGTCTCCTCATTGGCTGCTCAGTTACCGGTGCGGCTGGCTTTGGATTGGACACGGGCTCATGCAACAATAAAGTAGCCACCGCTAGGTGCGCGATAGTCTTAATTTTGGTGCTGATTCTACTAAATTACTGCTTCATGTTTTAACTTCATCCATCTTATCGTGTTTATCGGGTCGCGGGCTCCAGACTTTCACCTGAAAAAATAAAAAGGTGCAAGAGTTCAGCCTCAGCTGGAAACATCACAGGGTGTCAGTCAGTCTGCTGCTCTGGAGCCTCCAGGCGTCAAGATGGAAACACAGCAATGACCTGCTGCTACCCATCAACCTGGGAAGGGTCAAAGGTCATCCCCAGAGCATCTGAAGTCCACTGTTCTCATGACAGACAACCAAACGGCAGAAACTCCTCCAAGCATGTGTGAAGCACGGAGGTGGACGGATGGTGATGAGGGTTATCGGGTCAAAGGTCAGGACAGATTCATCATCACAGCCCGGATCATCTGCCAGCTGTTTGGGCTCCCGGTTCTACTGGTCCTAAAGGTTCTGGTTCTTCCTGCATCAGCGCCTGCAGTTGGATCAGAACCAGAACTGGACCGTTCTTAAACAGACCGCTGAGTCGGTTCTGCCCGCTCCTACCTGGACGTGATGAGAGGAAGGATGAGCATCTTCAGCATCCTCATCAGCAGCTCTCCAGGGAAGGAGAAGTAGATCTTGGCCTGAGGACAAAACAGAGATGGAGTCCAACTGCATCATGGGTCTAATCAAAGTAAAACCTTCTCATCAGCTCTGAATTAAACAAACCAGAATCATGTTTCACTCTTCTTCTGCACATAAAAACACATTTTCAGATAACAAATATCTAATTATCACAGTGGAAAATGTTTTAGTCTGGTCTGATCCAGAGGTCAGGCTTTCAGACGGTGCATGAATGCATCACGGTGGAAGTCTTTCCTACAGCGATGCAGCCTCTGAATGCTAACCAGCCAAAACGACAGGCTGCTTCCACACTTAGAAAGGAGACAGAAACCATGTGCGGTTCCTCAAATCTATTTATTTACATCTATGTGATCCCAGTGGCTCAGGTTATGGGTCATAAATCATCTACAATACGGCCTGATCGGACTCTCTGGTCCAGAGCTGGACTGGTTCCAGTCCGACCTCAGCAACAGGAACTTCTTTGTGTCAATAGGTAATTTCTCATCAAAGAGGTCAGAGGTCACATGTGGGGTTTCCCAAGGTCCAATCCTAGGACCCCTCTTATTTACAATCTGTATGCTCCCACTGGCTCAGGTTAACAGGAAATAAGATCAGTTACCATGACAACACAGATGATACACAGCTCTACATTATGATGTCATCAGGTGACCTTTGACCCCATCCAATCACTGAACAGACACTGAGAACAGATAAATGTGAGGATGAGACGAAACTTTCTAAATCTGAACAGAAGCTGAAGTTATGATGTTTGGACCTAAAGAGGAACAATCTAGAGTTGTAGATCTAGAGTCGTGATCTAGAGCTATATCTCTAGAGTCATATAGAGTTATAGTTCTAGAGTTATAGATTTAGAGTTATAGAGAATCATAGATCTAGAGTCATAGATCTAGAGTCACAGAATCAGATCTAGTCATAGATCTAGAGTCAATGCACAACTTCAGTTATTACAGCTGGAAAGCAGAGGTCAGGCTGACCTCTGACCTGAACCTTCAGACGGTTGGAAAGCGGCCGTCTACCAGCCGGATGATTTCCAGGAGGAAATGTTCCCTGACTCGCTGACAAAACCGATTATCTTTGATTTACTGAGTGAATTATTGTATTAACAACCTGGTGTAAAGTGTTAAGCTGGACCTGCTGCAGTATGATCCAGTTCTTATCCATTTCTTCTTCTCTCATATTAATTCCTGCATTAGCTACATCAGGCTAGCGTAGCGCTGACGTTAGCCTTGTGTGCTAAACATCTCCACAAATAAAACGCAGTTTCCTCTTACAGGGACGGATTACTGATGCTGGATTTGGACTGAGTGTTGTTAAAGCTCCCAGGCAGCGGTTGGCAGGAGCAGCCTGTCCTGGCAGAGGTCGAAGGTCACTCGCCTTTACAGGGACAGGAAGAACCTCACAGGAAGTTAAAGCTACCTGACACAGTGTTCTTCAAGCTAACAGTAACTAGCTGACCCTGCAGGAAACAGTTAACCTTCCTGTCAGGAATAGACTTCCTGCTCTGATCTATGTGACCTAGATCTATCTGTCCTAGTGACTCTCTCTTTCAGAGGCACAAACTAAAATCAAACTTAAGGCTCATTTTCATGAGTGGTCAAAATAATGACACTGAACGCATCATCACGACTTAAACACCTTAAAAACTGGATTCTAGAACAATCACAGCGACACAGATGAAACTGGGTCAGACTTTAAGAGTCTGTGCGCCAAAAATGCCAAACAGAACCTCCAGAACCTCCGGGTCAAACCGAGTCGGCTTGTTTGGGACTTTGAAACCGGATCAAAACCAGATCCGCAGAGCTTCAGTCAAAGTCAAAGTCAGCCACTAAAACACTTCACAACAAACAGCAGCACAGGGAGGTAAAAGAAAATAGAAATCAAATTAAGTTTGGTAAAATAATAAGACAAATATTAAACTGGCAGATTCCAAAAGCTAATAGTGACTAAAAACCAAACAATATTGAGTTTTAGCTGCAGCGATGTCCTTCCTCCTTTTCTCTTCAGCCGGAGTTGAAGGAGGAAAGACGAGTTTCAGTCTGGAGTTCAGCAGCCAGAGGGAGACGATCCACAGGAGGCTCCGTCTGCTTTAGGGACGGACGGTAAAAGCTGCAGCCGACCTCAGGGCTCCGGGTGGCTGTAGGGCTGCTAGAGCTCACTTCAGTACGAACGACCCAAAACACTTAAGAACCATCAATGAAACCTTAAATGTGATCCCAAGGCAGCAGGGGGCCAGTGAAGGGGAACCGGGGCCACAGATTCACGCCTCCTAGTTTTGCTCAGCAGACGAGCTGCAGCACTTCGTTTGCTCTGCTAAAAGCCTCAGAACAAACAGTTCCAATCATCTAAACGGCAAAATCAGATTTCATCTTAGCAAAGGTCCTCAGCTGAAAGAAACTGGCTTTGATAGCAGCGCTAACATGCTAATCAAATTTAACACGGGATCAACAATCACACCTAGATTTTTCACAAATGGACAGAAGGAGGACGGGGGACCAACCAGGGGGCCACGTCCAAGAGAGGACAGCAGCGACCAAACACAGTCTCAGCTTTTCCTCATTCAGGGTCAGAAAATGTCTGAACGTCCTGAAGACGATGATCCTGTAACACCGGCACAGCAGACCGGCCGCCATGTTACAGGCAGACGGATCTGAACGAGTCTGCAGAGCAGCGAGAAGAGACCAGAGGCAGAACAGGCCCAACATCGGCCCTGAGGGACCTGCAGAGGACCAACGCTGCCCGGATCTACTGTTTGCTTCTTTTAATGACATAATTCATTTATCCCCCTTTAATCCTCCTGCTGTCATTTTATCTGCAGAATATCCAACCACAGCCGGGTTGGGCCTGACGGAACCAACAGGTAACCAGCATCCCACCAGAACCGTCAGAACCTGCTCCAAATGAGGAATGGACCCAGGTTTCTGGACCCAGCATCGTCGCTAGCTGTTTCCTGTTAGCCGCCACCGCTAACGGTTCTGATGGTCCAATGAGAACAGGGGTGTCCAAAGTGGGTCCTGGAGGCCCGGCATCCTGGTGTTTTAGTTCTCCCTGGTTTAACTCACCTGGATCCAGTGACGGTCATTAGAGAGGAACACTGACCTGCTGAGAAGGCCGGATTCCGGGCCTCCAGGACCCACTTTGGGCACCGCTGGCTTAGAAGAACGAAAACAAGAAGTGAGGCGATCCGGGTCTCTGAGGTCCGACTGTCCCTGGACCCGGACAAACTGGGACGGGTCCAGTTCCCTCATTCCAGTTAAATCCAACAGAATGACCTTTGACCTTCTGGTCCACAGTCCAGTACAGGTTCTGGTTCTGCTGATCAGAGAGTTTCAGGAGATCGTCCAGAGGGCAGAAACCATGGAAACGATGGACAACCAGGTGGCCTTTGACCCCGTAGAAGGTTCTGACCAGATCAGACCTGTGGAGTTCCAATACAGGAGTTCTACTGGTGAAGGTCCAACAGAACCAACCAGGAACCAGAGCAACATCAGAACAGCCCCAGAGTTCTGGTCCTCCTAACAGAACTTTAGGTCCAGTAAGAACCGAGTCATACGGGGTTCCTGTTCTGGACTCCATCAGAACTTTTGGGTCAGTGTCAGAAGGAATAGTTCTGATTGGAGCAACTCCAGAACTTCTTTCCAACCAGAACCGTCCAGAACTCCAGCTGACCCGGTTCTGCAGGTTCCTGCTGATGACCAGTTCATTTGGACTGTTGGTTCTGGAGCAGAAACATCAGGAACCTGCTTGGTTCTGAACCGGGTCAGCTTGCTGTCTGAGGCTGAAGCTGTGCTTTAAGTGGGCCGGTACGCAGGTCAGAGGTCAGAGGTCAGCCTGGGGAAAGTCTTTGAAAGGTAAAGTTTGTTTATGCGAAGTGGAACATTCAAATCACCGTTCTGGATTTCCGTGTCTGATCTGTGGAACCGGCAGCAAACAGCTGCGAACAGCGACTGAAGGCAAACACAACCGTCCGACTGCCGTTCCAACATGGGAAAGATTTCATCCCTCCATCGTCTTTTCTTCGGTTCTCTGCCTCCATCTTCAGCTTCCTGCCATCAGATGAAACGATTCCAACGAAAACAACCTGACCTGGAGGAGCGGAGGGCGTCTGATCAATGCCCTGCTTCAGTTATTGATCATCGTGTACAGATGCACAAACAGCTGCATCATTTTTCAGCCAACGTTTTGGCGCCCGCTGCAGCGCGGCACCCAGATGCGTCGCATGTGATTCATACGAATGTTTGGCTCCACTGTGTCAAATATAATTACTTTCTCTTTAATTTCACAGTCAATAACATTTATCTGACTTCTAAACAGACTTTAGAGCCAAATCTGATTTATTTATTAAACCTTTAATACAGGAAGCATTTTAATAAGAGACTCATGTTCTGACTGCTGAATATTCTTCTTAATTTAAACTGGATGTTTTCCTTTCAATAACGTGAGAAAGTTACAAATCTACAATAATTTCCTAAAAAAACTGACTGTTAGAATTATTATATGCTTAGTTATTAATTAAGAAGTGAAAAAAATACTTCTGACTTGACTATTTAGGCTCAGAAGACGTAAAAGTTTTAAGGTATTCAGTCCTTCATCGCTTCTCCCTGGTTGCCATGGAAACCAACATGACTTTAGAGGTCAGCATGTTGCTGCTGAAGGAATGAAATCCAGCCGAATTAGATCTAAATCATTTTCAGATTTTAGAGACAAAATGTTCTGAACTGTAAACGTTTAGAAAGTAACGAGTTACAAAGTTACGTCAGTCTGTGAATCACTCACAACGTTCTGTGAAGAATTTTGACATATGTACCATTCGTCTGGTTCTGATCGGCACAGCAGAACCAGAACCGTTTGGGCCAAGCGGAGCTGCAGTCAGACACACTGAGTCCAGAGAGGTTCTGGTTGCGGCCCGGTTGGAGGTTCCGTACCTGTGTGGACAGCTCGGTTCCTCTCAGCATGAAGCCCAGCGTGCAGCCGGTAACCACGGCGATGACCGACAGCGTCAGCAGCCCGTTCCTCTGGCAGAAGCCCCTCATGTTCCTCCAGCAGTCCCCGCCCACGCCGGCCCTCAGCCAGGCCCTGACCCGGCCTGCCGGGTCGGACCGGGCCTCCTCCTCGCCGCCGCCGGGCAGCAGAAGCTCGTCCATGGCCTCCGAGGTGGTGGAGTCGTCCTGGCAACGAGGCGCGGGGCAGCCGGCCTCTTCCATGAGGGAGAAACAATCAGCAACAGCAGGCAGCAGGAGGCTTACCGCCTTAAGAGGCTTAAGGTGGAGCGGAGGGGGCGGCGTTTCCTCTTCACTCCTTCAGGAAGGTCATCAGAGGTCAATGAAACCGACTCCATCAGCAGCAGCGCAACTCACCAACAGGAAGTGATGTCACGTCCTGTGACCCAGACTCTGGTCTCCAAGTTCATGCAAGAAAACCTTAAAACAAACCAGGGGCCCAGAATGGGGCCAAAGTGGGCCCAGAGTGGGGTCAGAGTGGGGCCAGTGTGGGGTCAGAGTGGGGCCAGTGTGGGGTCAGAGTGGGGCCAGTGTGGGGTCAGTGTGGGGTCAGAGTGGGGCCAGAATGGGGCCAAAGTGGGCCCAGAGTGGGGTCAGAGTGGGGCCAGAATGGGGCCAGTGTGTGGTCAGAGTGGGGCCAGAATGGGGCCAAAGTGGGCCCAGAGTGGGGTCAGTGTGGGGCCAGAATGGGGCCAAAGTGGGGCCAGAATGGGGCCAAAGTGGGCCCAGAGTGGGGCCAGTGTGGGGTCAGAGTTTGTGCGGTCCTGGATGAAGGAGCTTGATGTAGAAACATAAAAAACAAAAACATGACAACATACGCATCTGTTGTTAACGTTATAGTTTTATTTTATAGTGAATAGAGAAACAGGTTCTGCTGTTCAGCTTCAGCACTGATGCTAGCAGACGATGCTCTGCATGATGACCAGAGGAACTGGACCTGCTCACCCAGCTTAAAGGGCCAGCGTCATGTGTCTCTAGCTTAATAAAGTAACTCTGTTACCTTCAATTGTTATGTTTGTTATAAATATGACTTTTACTCTCTGATTTAATATCTTGAAGTTGGGCCTCTGTCTCTTTCTGAAGCTCCGCCTCCAGGAAGTCGTCCCAACATGGCTCCTCTATTAACCCTTAAACGTTTCTACCAGCACTGCTCTGAGCAGCAGCTCCTATAGTGAGCTCAGCAATTAATTGCTGCTGGCTAGTCTGAAGCAGCTGAGAGGGGGAGGAGCTTCACCTTGAAGGCGGGGCTAGGTCTACCAGGCATTTCTAACAGCTGGATGGTTGCCATGGAGATTAAAGGATTCCTCAAACATGAAAGAATCAAGGCAACAGTGCAGGGAGTAATAATGTAACATGATAAAAACAGTTGATTTACAAGATACTGGACCTTTAAATAAATCAGTTCAGTTCTGGACTCCAAGCTTCTGTTAAAACACATAAAACAAAACTGCTAACTTCAATCTGAAAACCTTCAACAGATCATTCTGCTAATCTCAACATGACCAGAGATCATCTCTGGATTAAACAGAATCTGGCCGGACCTCCAGGTTCCGACAGATCACACATCACAGTCTGGTTCCTGGTTCTGATCCATTTACTTCACACAACACCGACCAGAACCCGGACAGATCTACAGGAGGGATAACAGGAAGTGATGTCACAGAGGGTGGAGGTCCTGGTTCTGATGGTGAGGGACCCTCTGTTCAGGTTCTGGTTCAGGTATAGAACCGGTTCTGATTCATTCTGGTCGGACTGTCTGGTAGAACGGTTCTGAGCCTGCCAGACGAGGTTCAGGGACAAACATTTGATTTAAAATGTTTGGGGTTAGGTGGAACAGGAGGAAGCTGGAATCAAACCTACAACCTTCCGATCACAGGACGACCGCTCTACCCACACAGCCACAGTCGGCTTGAACGTTAAACAGCAGAACATCTGTGGGCTCACCGCCCAGCGCCCCCTGCAGGAGGAAGCAGGCGCCACGCCATTAATACAGCAATAGCAGCAAACATCTGCAGGTCGTATGGGCAGGGGTCAAAGGTCAGGGATAGGGGTTCCCTCTTTAAGTTTCTTAATCAAGTTGTAGTTCCTGCTCTCTGCAGCGGTTGAAGAGAGCAGAGTGCCCCCCCCCTCCCCGTGGGCCCCGCCCCTTCCTGTGGGCCCCGCCCCTTCCTATGGGCCCCGCCCCTTCCCGTGGGCCCCGCCCCTTCCTGTGGGCCCCGCCCCTTCCTGTGGGCCCCGCCCCTGCCGTCACCACCTGACGAGCAGCAGTGCGGCGAGCGCCGCGTAGCCCAGGACGAGGCAGAGCACCTTGAGCAGACGGTCGTTCCTCTGCTCCAGCTCCGGACTCAGGACCTCCATGAAGGTGACGAAGAGGAAGGTCCCGCCGGCGAGGCCCTGCAGCAGCAGCGACGCCACGCCGGCTGCCAGCGTCCGCACCGCCTCCACGCCCATCCCCGCCGCCGCGCCCAGGGGGATCGTCATGGCGACGGCGGCAGCCAGCTTGGCGGCGTCCTTCATGCCGAGCGCCGCCTTGGCCACGTTGACGCCTAGCGCTGCGGCGGCCAGCGTCTCGTGGACGGCCACGCCCAGCAGCAGGCCGCCCAGCTTGGCGCCGTCCTCCTGCAGGCCCAGCGCCACGCCTTCGAACAGCGAGTGGGCCGACAGCGCCAGAACCAGGCCGGCCAGCCGCAGAGGCCCCGCCCCCGCCAGGTGGCCCGGTCCAAAGTGTCCGTGGCGATGGCCGCCACCCAGGAAGGGGGCGTCGTACTCCGAGTCGCTGCCGGGTTCCGAGCCGCCGGCGTTGAACGTCTCCAGGGCGATGAAGGACGGCTTCTCCTTCCTGAAGGTCAGGACTGCCTGCTCCACAAACAGCATGATGAAGAAGCCCACCATCATCATGGTCTCAGCCAGCGGGTAGTCGCTGCTGACCTGCAGCTGCTGCAGGACGCCGGCCGCCTGCAGGGGGAGCAGCCAAGCTTAGACAAGTTTGATTTTTACCACTAAAGTAACTACAATTAATCATAATTTCAAATTTACCAATATTTGTGGGACACACACTGGAGAAAATAGTAAAGAAGCGTGAAAGAGTCAAGGCCAAAGTAAAGGGGCCATGAGGAACTGTTCATTTACTCTATCTTTTATCATTTATTCTGAAAATCTCTTATGACTAGAATTTTGATTTATTGTCTGGAAAAAATGGGATTAATGTTGTTAAAAAACAAAACTGGCTTTATTAGAAATGTTGCTGTGACGACTTCCTGAAGGCGGAGCTTCAGGAAGAGCAGGAGGTCTTTAAAGGACAGATGCCCAATTTCAAGGCGTTAAATACCGAAGTCATATTTGATACACATAGTATTTATATAACAGCTGAAGGTAAAATAGCTACAGGATAGTGCCTTAAAATGGCCCAACATGCCTGGAAAACACCGTCCCTTTAAAGGTGTTACTGAAATCAGCTGCTTATGAAACCGTTTCCTCCTGGCTGCTCTGTGTGTGTGTGTACCTTGTCTCTGACGGCCGGCAGCAGAGCGTTGAAGCACGTTGCCAGGAACACGCCTCCTCCGAAGCAGTTTCCGAGCGCCAGGCCCCGGTGGTAGCGCCCCGCCTTCTCGCTGTCGGCCAGCAGGAGGCGCACCGGCAGCAGGATGCCAGCCAGCATCAGCGAGGACAGGCCCAGCAGGCCCAGCAGCTTCACCACCAGGAGCTGCATCCTGAGCTGCAGATGCTACCAGCAGCACAGTGACATCACTTCCTGTGTGGTGGGCGTGGAGGAGCTGCACCGTCTCTACTGGTTCCACTGGTGGAGAAACAAACACAGCAGCTGTTACTGGGAGTCTCCTGGGGTTCTGGTTCTTCAGCAGCAGCTGATTACTGGGTTATTCTGGGTTACAACCAGAACCAATGGGTCTAAACTGAAGCACAACCTGAAAGTTTCCATTAAATAATAAACCATTAAATTAATTTATTCTTTGGTTCTCAGAACCAGAACCAAACGAGGAGAAGCAGCATTCAGCTTCCATGCACCACAAATTTGGAACAAACTTCCAGAAAATTGTAAAACAGCTGAAACACTGAGAGCCTTTAAATCTCGACTAAAAACCCACCTGGTTAGAGCTGTATTTGAAACATAATCAATTACGAATTTAATGACAGCTCTTAACTTAATGTAATGTTTTGATTGTTGATTCTATGTTGCATGACTCTGTGTTTTCATGTTTTTCTTATTTAAAGCACTTTGAAATGCCTTGCTGCTGAAATGTGCTGTACAAATAAAATTGGATTGACTGATTGACATAGAAGCTAATATAAAAATACCTACAAATTATAAAAAGGACTAAAATCGAATATAAATGTCTGTGCCTCATCTATAGGGACTAGTAGAACAATTTCAAAGTGATTTTGAGTCATTAGGTCACATGACCTGGAAGCTATTGAGGAAAAACACTCAATTTTGATGAAAAAAATTCCTAAAAAATGGAAAATGGCTAAAAATGGAAAACAAATGTCTGTGCCTCATCTATAGGGACTATTATAATTATTTCAAAGTGATTTTGAGTCATTAGGTCACATGACCTGGAAGCTATTGAAGAAAAACCCTCAATTTTGACGAAAAAAATTCCTAAAAAATGGAAATTGGCTCAAAATGGAAAACAAATGTCTGTGCCTCATCTATAGGGACTATTATAATTATTTCAAAGTGATTTTGAGTCATTAGGTCACATGACCTGGAAGCTATTGAGGAAAAACACTCAATTTTGATGAAAAAAATTCCTAAAAAATGGAAAATGGCTAAAAATGGAAAACAAATGTCTGTGCCTCATCTATAAGGACTATTATAATTATTTCAAAGTGATTTTGAGTCATTAGGTCACATGACCTGGAAGCTATTGAGGAAAAACACTCAATTTTGATGAAAAAAATTCCTAAAAAATGGAAAATGGCTAAAAATGGAAAACAAATGTCTGTGCCTCATCTATAGGGACTATTATAATTATTTCAAAGTGATTTTGAGTCATTAGGTCACATGACCTGGAAGCTATTGAGGAAAAAC